CCTGTCCCATGAAACAATGATGTTGTACAAAAATGATTCATATTTGTAATAATTTCTAGTGCAAATTTTATATAGTCTTGTGCAATTGACCATAAATAAAGAATATATATATATATATTTTTTTTTTATTTAATACCTAATAGATCATACACACCATATTTAAGACTTACTAACTTAGTATGAACTCTAAATCTTTGCATCTGAATTTCATTTTACTGTATATTATAAGTCTCGTGGTCTTTCCTTATAACAAAAATATAGAGACAAAAGATTTATAGATGGTAAAGAAACTAATTATAAAGTGTATACTACTATCTAGTAATGAATATTAGTATCTAGCTGCTATTTAATCATGTAAAGTAGAGTAATTTTAAAAAAACATTTTGTCCTTCTAAAATGTTTCTTTACATCCAAACATCTTGGAAGCAACATATTAAGGAGAATCATAAGCTTATACAAAGTCTTAGAGAAAAGATAAACTATTAACTTACCACATTCTTTAATTCATCTTTCATTTACTTATGTTCATGAATTTGCAAAATTATTATGACCTATGTTAGCTGACAAGCCATTCTCCTTAAAAATGCAAACAGGATGTAAAACTATAACTACACAATAAACCAGTCAAAAAGTTTGCATGTGCTTATCTTTTATCCCATGATAAAAATAGTGCACTTAAATCTATCTGTAGGAGTTTAATTTTTCAGATATTTAGAGCTGTAACTACAGACACTTACCAGTCTCCTCCGAGGACCCAACTTGAATTCTATAGCACTTATAAATGAGTGAAACATTCTTAGCAATTTTTTTTTTTTTCTGCCACCATATTTTAAGAGTATTTTGTGGCTAAAACTGTAAATGATCACTTTGTCACCTCTCCATCAACTAATAAGGCCCCAGGTAACACCTACCTACATATTTAAAAAAAAGATAGGTCACAAAAAGATACTATGGCCATCTTCATATACAGAACACTCCATTGCTAACTTACTAATCTATGGCAAGGGATGAAGCTGGATAAAGATGTTATCAGATTGAAGGTCACAGATAATACTGTTGCTACTCTCAATATCTATTCTATGTACACTATACGTATAGCTCTAGTTTATTTTCCCTGTCATTGGCTTTTGAAAGGTAGATAGTCTGTCTCTTGAACATCCTAGGATCTCAGGATTTGTGACAGCTTAATAATTTCTTGAAGCAAATGACAGAGACACAGATTTGGTAAAAAAAAAACTATGATCAAAGAATCAAAATATAATGATATTGAAATAAAAAGATATAGGTATTACATAGAAGTATATGAAATAATGGATAATACTTTCTCTATTAAAACAAAATTTGGGCAGATAATATTTTTGGCAAAGAAAATTGACAAATATTGGATAAAGAAGAGTTTAAATGAAATAATAAAATGAAAAAGAAACATATTGACTTCCCTTCATGTTCTGTAAAAATCAATAGCAAATATTCAGCAAATAATAATTTTAATAAAAAATTACCTTCTAATCTTATCTATCATTATAAAATGCTGATAAAACTACTATGAATTTCATTACATACATTTTCTCAAAGCAATAAAAAAAAAATCATATAGAAAAGGAAATAAATATCTCATTCATCTTTCTATTGGTAGGAAATCTTTAACATACCAAAAACTACAACAACTGATCAATAAAAAAAATAAAAAAAATAATAATTCTTAATGTTCTGATATCCGTATATATATTTTGTTCTGTCAGAGAGAAATTATGTGTCTCAGTAAAATAAAAAAGCAGAATATATATATACATATGCATTCAATGAACTATGTAATATAATTCCCTTAATACAAAATATGTCTATCATTTCTCTTGTAAGTGAGATAATTTTTTATTTATTCTCTATCAGATGAACTAAACAAAAAATCTATAAAACAGCCCCTTCAAAAATTCTATCATTACCCAAGACTAAGCATGAGTCTGTAATCAAAATATGAAACATTAATTCTAAAGTTTAATGGAGATCTTAATTAAGATCAACCTGAATTTATCAAAGAAGAAAGAAAAATGAAAACAATTCAAGGCTCAAAGGCTAAATAAAAGTAAGGATAGACGTTAAATAACAGTAAGGATAGACGTACCACAGATAATTAAATGACAGTATTAGACACTCAGACACTTACCAAAAACTAGTGTCAGAAACAGGTACTGGATGACCCCATAGAGTAAGATCGACTCCCGACAAGCACCACTTTACCCACAATTTTTTTTTTTCTTCGGGGAAAGAAATATTACGCAAACAGGTATCAACTACTGTTAAAAATAGGTCTACTGAAATCTGAAGAAAAAGAAAGATAATAGAAAACACCTAAAGAAATTAGTTAAAAGAATTACCCTGCACAAAGGAAAGGTAAGACCCAACCACATATCAAAACCTGTTAATGTCGTTATTACCATAAATAAAAAAATAAATAAAAACAAGTAACCTATAAAACACCATATTCTGGATTCCTGTTCAGCGGCATCAAGACCCACAGCAGAGGAGGAAAAGACGGAAATAAATTCTCTGAATAATTGAGCTGCCAAGTTTGGATACCAAAAAAGGACGACGGTTTATTCCCCGCGAGTGTAAAGAAGTTCCAAATTTTTTCTCTAGGCTCTGGGCATGTGGTTTACATGAATGGCCATACACAGCGTATGTATATAAGTGTAATTTAGCATTTGTAAAAGAGCATAAGCCAGTAACCATCTGCGCACTCCAGGGAATCCACAAATGCTCGAGCCCAATACCCTTCCCGAGGCCTTTGTCCCTCAACCCCCCCCCACCCCTATCCCCCCCCTGGTTTCCTTAGTCCGACCCTGGATACCCATCTATTATAGGAGGACAGTAGGCCTATCTCAGAAATCGGTAAGTCCTGAAAGTTCTTAACAATTGTCCAAAAAAATAAGATAAAATAAAAAAGCTATGTCTGTCATGGCTGATATATAAGTTCCTTGTCAAGATAATAATCTAAATATACCAACTATACCAATAATTCTTATATATATATATATATATATATATATATATATATATATATATATATATATATATATATATATATATATATATATATATATATATATATATATATATATATATATATATATATATATATATATATATATATATATATATATATATATATATATATATATATATATATATATATATATATATATATATATATATATATATATATATATATATATATATATATATATATATATATATATATATATATATATATATATATATATATATATATATATATATATATATATATATATATATATATATATATATATATATATATATATATATATATATATATATATATATATATATATATATATATATATATATATATATATATATATATATATATATATATATATATATATATATATATATATATATATATATATATATATATATATATATATATATATATATATATATATATATATATATATATATATATATATATATATATATATATATATATATATATATATATATATATATATATATATATATATATATATATATATATATATATATATATATATATATATATATATATATATATATATATATATATATATATATATATATATATATATATATATATATATATATATATATATATATATATATATATATATATATATATATATATATATATATATATATATATATATATATATATATATATATATATATATATATATATATATATATATATATATATATATATATATATATATATATATATATATATATATATATATATATATATATATATATATATATATATATATATATATATATATATATATATATATATATATATATATATATATATATATATATATATATATATATATATATATATATATATATATATATATATATATATATATATATATATATATATATATATATATATATATATATATATATATATATATATATATATATATATATATATATATATATATATATATATATATATATATATATATATATATATATATATATATATATATATATATATATATATATATATATATATATATATATATATATATATATATATATATATATATATATATATATATATATATATATATATATATATATATATATATATATATATATATATATATATATATATATATATATATATATATATATATATATATATATATATATATATATATATATATATATATATATATATATATATATATATATATATATATATATATATATATATATATATATATATATATATATATATATATATATATATATATATATATATATATATATATATATATATATATATATATATATATATATATATATATATATATATATATATATATATATATATATATATATATATATATATATATATATATATATATATATATATATATATATATATATATATATATATATATATATATATATATATATATATATATATATATATATATATATATATATATATATATATATATATATATATATATATATATATATATATATATATATATATATATATATATATATATATATATATATATATATATATATATATATATATATATATATATATATATATATATATATATATATATATATATATATATATATATATATATATATATATATATATATATATATATATATATATATATATATATATATATATATATATATATATATATATATATATATATATATATATATATATATATATATATATATATATATATATATATATATATATATATATATATATATATATATATATATATATATATATATATATATATATATATATATATAGAGACACTTAATATACACAATAATTCATAATATGCATATAATGTAACCCAAGAAAGTATAAATATAACTATTATCATTAAAATTAGCATACCTTTAATAATCTAAAAACAAAATAA